CTGCCGTCCACGCGGCGCGCGGGCACCGCGCCCGCGGCGCGCGGCCGCCGCGCGCCACCGCCCGCTGCCGCAGGGCGGCCGCTGCACGGCAGCAGCGAGGGCCGCCCCCCCTCCTCTTCCTCCTCCGCCTCCTCCTCATCCTCCTCCCCCTCCTCCTCCTCCTCCCCCTCCGTCTGGCCCAGCAGAGCACGCTGAGAGCAGCAGGGGTGATGAGCATCGCTTGCTCTCTGGAGAGGAGGGAGAGAGCCACTCGACTCTGAAAGCAGGAGGGCGCTGGAAGTGGATTGGGATCTGGGGCTCCCGGAAAGACTGCTTTCAACGACTGGCGTGTAATCGATCCCTGTCCCGCTGGCGCGGCCTTGGTGCCACTGGCCGGTTCACCCTCCTGGATGGGGATCTATTCCGTTCCCTTCGGGTTTCGCAAGGCATCTCCCCAACTGGGGGGCGGGATGTTTGGGCTGAAAGACCTGGCCCAATGGGGACGCGAATCGATTATTCGGGGTTTCTTGATACGCGTGGGGGGGTACCCCCCCGACGGGGGTCAACCTCGCCTCGTCGTCGCGCCGCGACGGGGTCGGAACGCCGTCGGCGCGCGGTGGCTGCCCGCGACGGGGTTCGATGTGGGGCCGTCGGCGGGGGAGACGCCCCCCCCCCCCGACGCTCAGGGAGAAACTCAGAGCAGAAGCTACAGAGCTGAAGAGGCAGGCCGAGGAGTAGGAGGCCAGCTAGAGGAGTCAGCCGGGGCAGGGGCGAGGACACGGCCGTGTGCACGTTTGGCGCATCTGGCCGTACAAGGGATCGTGGCCGCCTGGACCAGAAGTGCAGGCAACACGGGGGCGAGAGCACGAGTCCTGAAGCGAGTGTTAGGTCCAGCGTGTCCTCCTACAGGCGGATGTTGCTCGAAATCTGGAACATTGCCAACAAATGTTTCAACAACCAATTCAAGTATCCACTGCGTGGAGCTCCCCATATGTGAACCTATTCGCATGGACATGTCCGCCGCGAGTGTCTAGGCGCAAGAGCTTTCGAATATAAACGGGCTTCAGTTGTGACGGTCTGGTCATGAATCTAACTGAGAATGAATTGGAGCGTGAATGAGCCTCAGGAATACGAGCGCGTCTCTGCGAATGAGCATGGGTCCTCCTGGGGCCTCCTGGGGCCTCCTGAAACCTACTGGGGCTTCCTGGGGCCTCCAGGAGCCACTTGGGGCCTCCTGGGGCCTCCTGGGACCTCCTAGGGAGGATTCGCGCCCCGGGAGAGGCCCAATGCATAGCAACAGACGTACATAAAACATTACGGATTGGAGCAAAAGGAGAAGGGGGCAATCTATAGGAACACACGTAAAACACCAAGGACTCGTGCCCCAGGAGAGGCCCTATAGGAACATAAGTACACAGGAGAAGGACAATATATAGAAACAGACGTATCACATCAAGGATTCGTGCTCCTTTTTAGTGACCAGCACAGCTCGTGCAACGCGAGCCGCACGAAGGCGGGCAAGCGACGGCGCCGCGAGAGGGCGGTCGGAACGGCCGCAAAGGCGGCCACGACCGTAGTCGCCGCTGCCGCACCAGCTGGGCGTGCGCCGTCAGCTAAAGCGGCCACGCGAGCCACCGGCCAGCCCGTGCCGAGCCCAAAAGGGCCCAGACCACCGCAGGCGCTCCCCACGCACAGCCGGGCTCTTCCCCGCATTGGGGCCCAGCCCTGACTTTGAAACCACTGACACAAAGGTGCGCTGCCTCATCGCGTTGCCCACGTCAGCGTCGCACGTCCTGCCGAGCGAACGGTGCTTCCCATTGACCTCCATGGCGAAGGCATAGGGCTTGCGTCGGGTGCACGCGCGGTAGCCGTAGGTGCTCAACTCCAGATGCCCAACGCCGACTGTGCCCTTGCTGCCTTGCCCTGCAGCCTCCACAGCCAGCTGCGTGCCGCCATGGCGCCGCACGGCCGCTGCCTCGTGGACTGGAACCACCCTGGCCGCGGCAGCCGCGCGCAGGAAGGCGAAGCCAGGAGGCGCGCCCTGGCCAATCGCGGCGCAAGGGGCGTCCACGGCAAGCCCAGCCTCGTTAACCGCGCCGTCGGAGTCGCCAGCGGGATGGCAGAAGGCCAACTTCGTGACAGACGACGGCCAGTCGCACTTCAGCTCGAAGGCCAGCCACGTGTCGTCGCGCGCCTCGACGCCAGCGTGGACCATCACATCCAGCTCGTGAGGCCGTAGCGCGTAGCACGACGAACCGCCCGAGTCCCTGAAGGAGGCGAACACGGCCCTGATCGCACTAGCCGAACGCCTGGCATGGCGCCCACCCCGATCGGCTAGCCAGACGAGCGGCGCGTCCGTGGGGTCGTCGTCCAGCGGCCCACATGCACGGCACTCGGCCACCCAGCCTGCGAAGCCCCCCATGATCTTGCCGGCGACCTGCTGCGCGAACCTGTCAGCTATGGTGCTGGCGTTGTAGTTTGCCACCTGCAGCTGCAGCTGGGGCTCGTCCGTGAATCCTGTCGCCTGCGCCAGGCCCAGCGAAGCGACGTGGGCCTGCGCAGTCTCCCGCCTGGCGTCGGCCCGAACATCGGGTCGGCCACTGCGCTGGCGACCGAGCACCTTCAGCGCACTTAGCCTCATCAATGCGAGGTCGGTCGGCGCAGCGTCCATGAACGCCATGGTCACTCGCTTGTTCCAGGAGGAGGCGGCTGCCATTCTAGGGAACCTGGGAGCCGAGGGCTTGACCACCTCAGCCTCAGCCCGCCCCACGCGCCCAACATCTTCCTGATGGGCATGCTTGAGACCGATGGCGCCCAGCCCATGCCACTCGGCCCATCGGAAGAATGTCTTCCACATGCAATCCACCGCAGCCGCCGCCAATCGGGCCCGCGAATATGCCCGCCAGTGCGCGCGGGCGTCCATGCAGCGCGCGCGCGGGAGCGGGGAGGGGAACTCCTCGGCGCCCTTCAGCACCAGCATGTACCTGTTGGTCGAGCTAGCGGGACGCTTGAGCTCGACGGAGTAGTGCGATGGCAGCCCCCACCCCTGCAGACCCTCCGCGCGCGCTTCACGCCCGCGTGAAATGCCCGCGCAATCGCAGTGAGCACGACGAGGCGCCTCAACTTCGCCACGAGGGAACTTGCAGCGTGTAAGCTTCGTCGCATCCCAAGTGCCCTGCTCGAACGCGGCCAGCCCCATGCCGCGCTCCGCAGAGAGCCAGGTGCCCATGGCGGCGTGCATATCCCGATCAGCATCCTTGCTGCACTTGAAATCCTTGCCGCTCTGACCCCGCTGGTTGCTTGGCGGCGTCGATGCCCGCTTGCCACTAGCGGGCGGCTGACGAGGCTGCTAAGTTAGCCAAGGCTGCCCTGCTCCGCGTGGTGGCCGAGGCCGCCTGCCGCCGCGCCCAGGCTTCACGCGCGTCGCGCGGTCGGCCGTCGGGCACTCGCCACGCGCCTTGGCCGAGACAAACTCAGGGTTACAAGCGCCGCCCCTCACCAACGCGGCGCCGCCCACGAAGTCCAGGCCGAAAGCGGAGAGGCCCTCGCCAACCTTCATGTAGACGTAAAACCATGCACAGCCCGCAGATGGGCCTGCCACATGCGCGTCCGCCGCGCGACCAGGCGCGGGCACCGTCAGTTGCCCAGCCTCGAAACCGCCAAGGCCAGACGACCCCGGCGCCCACTGCAGGAGAACTCCGTTGCCAGCCTGCCCATCCGAGAGCTTGGTGACTGGCGTGGCGTCCGTGCGCCAGCCCACCCAAGCCGCCTCGACTGAAACTACGCTGCCGAGCTCCTCAGACAGGTGTGCCTCTTGAGCGAAAGTGAGGTCACACCTGCGAATCCCGCGGTATCCGAGGAGGCCCTCGAACCTGCTGTCCGCAGTCGCGCCGATGGAGAGGGCCGACCACCAGCGCCCACGAACACGGCTAGCCAAGGGTCCGTGGCTTCTACGCGTCCCGCAGCGTGTCGAGAGCGTCGCGGATCCGCTTGCGCTGCTCGTCATCGTCGCCACAGCCACCAAGGAGCCCGCCAGGACCCTCCTCGCCCAGGATGTCTTCGAACCCTGCTGCATCCCCCGCTGCTGCAGGGGCTGCTGCTGCTGGCGCTGCTGCGGCCGCACCGCCGCCTGGCTGCCCCGCTGGCTGCCCTGCGGCGGGCTCGGCAGGCTCGGCGGCGCCGGCAGCCGCGGGGACCCCGACGTGCGGGCGAGCTGCGTTTGCTTCCTCGGCAAGCTCGTTGACCATGTTCGAAAGCTGCTGGAGGAGGTCCTGGCCCGAGACGCCGTCGGTGTTGAGCGCGCCGAGCTTCTGCTTGATGGCCTCGGGACTGATGCCGCCTCCGTAGAACGATGGAGCTTCGCGCTTAGCCTCCGCCAGCTCCTGCTCCAGCTGCGAGATGGCCTCCTGCGTCCTTTGCACCTGCACCAGAGCCTTGCGAGCAGCCTCCGGGTCTCGCTGAAGCCGAGCTTGAGCATCCGCAAGCTGGCGGGCAAGCCCATCCACCTTCTGCGGCGCAGACTTGCCCACCAAGCCGAGAGCGTGAGCACGACGAGCTGCCTCAACTTTGCTGCGAGACGACTGGCTGAGGGTGAGCTTAGCCGCATCCCACGCACCCTGCTCGAAAGCCGCCCAGATCTTGATCTGCTCCGCGGTGAGCGTGGAGCCCGTGGTGGCGCCCTTCTCCCAGCCTGCGCCCTTGCTGCCCTTGAACACCTTGCCATTCTGGCCCCACTGGTTGCTCGGCGGCGCCGTCGCCCACTTGCCACGGGCAGGGGGCTGACGCAGCTGCCAAGGCTGTCCTGCTCCGCGCAGACGAGTCCGCAGTCCGCCGCAACCAGGTTTCGTGCACCTCGTGCGGTCGGCCGCCAGGTACTCTCCACAAACGCGCTGCCACTGAGCCGCAATGGCCGAGACACACTCAGGGCTATAAGCGCCAAAACGAGGAGAGCCCGCGCGCCAGCCGTCGGGGAGCTGGACCTGGGAACGAAGAGAATGAGCTCAAAGCGCGATCCCTCGCGC